TATCTTCTGCTTTGCCATCTGACTTACAGACTTTCCAAGTTCCACTGCGTATTCTACAACATCGCTGGACTTTGGAAGATCACACCATGGAGCAGGGTCTCATACAGTGGTCTCATACTCCACCGGAGTTGGCTACCTGGGAGCCGCTTGTCACTCTGTGACAACAATTTCCGCGTGCGCCGGCCTGGGGACATGCCGGCTCTGAAGAACCGGGGGCTGTCAGCAGCACTAGCCAGGCGGCACCAGAAGAAGAAGCTGCTACTTCCAGCGTGCTTACCGGCCCACCACCAATTCGGCCTAAGAGAATCACGAAGCCCAGCTCGCGGGTGGTTGGCCCATCCTGGATCAACTAGAGACATAGTATAAGTAGCAAAGAGGAATGTGAGAGGGACATGAACAGAAATGTGTAAAACCCTAAATTGAGTTTAATCATTCATGGTAGCTCTATCTCTGTAATTCTGTTCTGCCTGTATTTGTTTCTTCCTCGGCGCCATCGGGTGCTAACATTCCAGCACAGGTAGTTAGGGTTTCCTGTAGCACATGAGCACACATAGAGCAGAGGGAGGAGGCATCACCGGGGGGCAGTCACGCCTGCGGCCACTGGCTCACCCACGGGCGGTGCTGCACCATAGCCCGGCGCTCAGCCCGGCGACCCGACAACGCCTCGTGCCATGAGCTGGCGGTGCGGGCACGGCCGGCACGGCACGACGCGAGGGGGAGAGGAGGAGGAGGCTGGCCGCAGCCGTTGTGCCCGCCCACGCCATCGCCGCCCTATCCGTGTGGAGTTCAAGAGGGAGAGGGAGAGACCGACGGGTGAGGGAGAGAAGAAGTTGGGAGAAGAATCTAGAATGAAGCCCGAGTATATATTTGACTCGCCGGATTAATTCGTCATCCTCAGCTCCACCGCCGTGACGGCGAGAATCATGTGTTTGCCTTGGTCCCGGTAGGGGCTGGACCATGAAATGCAGAGCCTGACTCCTCCAAGGCAGGCCAGGCCCCGAAGTAGAAATAGTCTTCCTCAAGAGAGTAGCCCTCGTCCTTGCTGGGGAGGAGAGTAGTAGCCCTCATCCACTGCTGCCGGATGGCCTCCAAGTCGATGGTGCACAGGGCTAGGCACCCGGGCGTGAAGCCCAAGAGCAGGCCCAGGTCAGGGGTGTACACCGCTCATCGCACGAGGGCAGCACCCCTCCTCCACTGCACCAACCAAGCTTGGCGCCGCCATGTCCAGGGAGTAGGTTCCCTTGCCCGCCTCCTCGCCCACGGACAGCCACACGCGCCCGCTAGCGACGAAGTAGGACATCACCTGAGCCCTGTAGCCGTAGCACCTCCAGTTGTCCAGCAACGGCGGGGACATCAGGGGCGGAGGAATGGGGAGGGGCTACAGGCGGCCCCCGGACATGAGGCGGAGAGCCTCGAAGTAGGGGTCTGGTTTCGACAAGTCGGGGCCACCGGTCAGGACCAGCATTGACATGTCGTCGTCGCGGCGGCGGCGGCGTTCTGCCGGCCTGCTGCTTAAGGCAAGGAGGATGGGCCAGCGTTTCCAGCAGCCTAGGTCATGGTCGTAGGAGAACTGGGACCTGGTGGCATCGTAGACCATGATGTGCCCGTCCGTGGTGGTGGTGACGATCTTGTCCCCACCGGGAGAAGCGGCCAAGTCCATGGGGAAGCGGAGGGGACGTCGAAAGCAAGCCACATGGCTCGGAGGTAACGGGAGCACCTCCGGAGGCCGCCTCCTGCGGCGGCCATGGCGGCTACTGCTCTCGTCATCGGCGAAGAGGCGCTTCACGTCGAACCTGAAGACGAGGTAGCTCACCTTTCCATCGCGCACAGATACCAGGATGCTGATGTTGCCGTGCAGGAGGCGGCGGCGCGGTGCCGTGTTTCTTTTCGTTTTGGAACTATTGATGAAACTCCTGGTATGTATGTATATATATAATAATATACACAGCTAGCCGAGGAACATCCATCGCAGCTACCTAAACCGAGTTGAGTCGAGTCGGTGGCTCGGTGCATATTATTAATTATTAATTAATTTATAAAGGTGGGGAGTAACTATATATGGAAATTGAAATGGGAGTTGTATACTTGTATATATATTATATTGTATATTATATGTCAGCTGGACCGCCAGTCCGAGAACTTCCCTTCACCAGAATTCCCCTTCCCGGATCAAATTCGTCACCGCGTGCAAGCAGATTGCACATCATGCAAACCAGCAGACGAATTGGCCTATTTAGGTCTCTCTCTATCAGGACTCAAGCTCTATATCGAATCTGACAATGGTACAATTAAGATGTCTGGACGGGCGGAGGTCTCCCACCGCTTACTCCCGCACGCGCTGCTCGCCTAGCAACCCTATCCTCTCATCCCGTCCACGCACCCCAATGCTCGCTGCGCCGTTTCCTTCCTACGTCGCCATACCCATCCGCCCACCCCACCCCGCTGCGCCGCGCCCCATCCCTTGTGGCCTCCTTCACACTGCCTCCCCATGCTGCCTTCTCCGCGTTGCATTCCTCACTAGGCCCAGACTGCCTTGCCCGCCTCCTCGCCGCGGCCGGCCCGCTCGTCGCGACCGCCTCCACCGAACCGGCGAGCCCCACGACGGATGCTCCAACAAGCAGCTGAGGGGGACGAGATTAGTGTGACGTCGCGCCCGTTGGGCGAGTTGTGCGTGCCGCTGCCGCACAGCGAAGTCTATGCGCCGCCGTCGACCTCCGTGCTGGCGTGCCTCCATTCGTCCAACAAAGCCCATGTTGCAAAAGTATGTTTCAAGTGTTTCAGATGTTTCATCTCGATGTTGCAAGTGTTTCATCTTGATGTTGCAAAAGTAGATCGGAATATTGCACATGTTGTAATGGCTATACACGTATGTTTCTAAGTGTTTGTTCCAAATGTTTCATCTCATTTTCCAGACGTATGTTTGCAAGTGTTTCATCTAGATGATGCATATGTTTTCACACATGAAGTGTTTTCAGGTGTTTTTTGCAATTGTTTCATACGCATGTTTCAAGTGTTTCAGCTGTTTCGTACATATGTTGCAAGTGTTTCATCTTGATGTTTCAAAAGTAGATCTGGTGTTGCAGTTAGTGTTTCAGATTCATGTTTCATGTGTTTCATCTGCCTTAAGACGTATATTGCAAGTGTTGCATTCGAATGTTTCAAAAGTAGATCGGGTGTTGCATCTCTTTCTTCGCTTTTTTGCTGCCTCACCTTCACCTCGGTGTCTCCTCCTCCTACTCCCGGCGCCGGCTGGGCATCTACCGCCCCCTCCCCCTCTTTTCTGGATGCTAGCGTAGCCACCTGCTGTAGTCACCTGTTGCAGCTGCTGGACGCATGCATGCGCGTGAGAAGTAGAGGTGGTGCGTGCAGGGACTCCCCACGTGCAGTCGGGCGGGTCGAGCGGCACGGGCCCCCCTAAGCAGACACGGGTTGCGGTTGCACGGGGGGAGACGGAGTGTTGGCGCGGGCGTCCGTTTGGACGTCCGGACACTAGCACTGCCGATATCGAAATCCAATCTGTTCCACATCGTGTATCTCAGGTATTGTTCTGTTGCACTACTCCAGTCGTACTTTTCAGCAAACGAACAATGTTTTCTCTCACAACAAATCAACATAAACCAAATTTCAGCGAAACGAACAACACATCCACTTGGTGTTCAATGGAATTCACTAGTTTGTTATAATTGTGTGTGTCGTTCGTCATGTGCTCGAGTTGTATGTGTTGTTGTTCGATTGTCATGTACGCGCAGCAAGAGTGCTCACCTAGGCACTGAATTCATCCTAGATGCCGAAAAATTGACGCCTAAGATCGCTGCATGGTGATGAGGCAGCTCTTCGTGGACTTCAATCCAAGCAGGCCATTAATTAGAGCCCACTACCACTTGATTTGTACAGGCCTTGGCCTTGGATGAAGAAGATCCACGTTGAGCAAGGTATTACCTTTTGGGTGCTCAAAGCGAGGAAAAGCTGCAGATCTTCATAATTAGGTAGCACGTCAGCAGAGCAGAGCATTAGCTAGCTAGTCTTTTTACGAAGAGTTTCATTAATTTACAATCTCATATAATAATTATAAATTTACCTCAGTCCTATGCATAAAAGTGTACAAAACACAACTTAGTCAAACTAAAAGATACGAGCACTGCACTCTAATGACTATCAGTCATGTGTCTAGGAGGAAAACATTGTGATTTGTGACCGCGTTGAGCTTGTTTCTTTTTAAGCATCAAGCCATTTATGTATAACTAAAGTGACTACCAAATAGCTATAGCCCCTAGATAATAGAAAAGTTTTGAAACCCCTTCTAAACACTAAGGCTAACTCCCGAATATATATATGAGAAATATTACGAGGTTGAAAAGCATTAAATCGATGTGTAATGTGTATGCAGCTCCGAAACCGTATGGGCAAAACAACATTCAAAGAAGAGGTACTCAGCTAATAACATACTCCCTTCAGTCCATTATATCTGACGTTAGAATGATACGGTCTTCTAAATTACACTTTAACCGACCATTCATTTGCTTTATATTATATTATTTATATTTACAAACTTATAATCATTGGATAATATAATTTCTTTATAAATCTAATCATATAGAGTTTGTATTATAATAATAAAAAAATATTAGACTAATTATTGATTAAAATTTTTAAAGTTTGAATATTAATATGCGTGTGCGCCACATAAAATGGACCCGATAGAGTAGTATAATAGACATGTTCTTTTACATAATGGACTTATTATGCATTACATATATATATGGATCCAGACTTGTGCATCTGGAGCTCATAAATATATTACTCACCACACGCCTCAACCACCAATGAACAATTTTAGAATGGTACGTACTACGTAGGGCGGCGCTTCACTCGCACGCCTCCATTGCCGCTCTGCTATAGCTGCTTCATGCTTCAATTACTAGCCAGTAACCACGTATACGAACTAGTGTTATTTACGCACGGCAGGGTGCTTAGTATAATCTTAATGAATCACTCATCAGCTAGGTAGCGAGCGAGCACTCTGGGTATAAGGAGTGATCCTTGGTGTAATCCTGGCAGTAGTAATAGACCATGGACCTCTGCTGCGCCCAGCGCATGGCGTCCCGCTGCTGCACGCTGAGCCCAGCGCCGGCGGGGGACGCCGGCACGGGGCGGCACCCGGCGGGCGCGGCGGTCTCGCAGCCGGCGGTCCTGAACCCCCGGAAGCCCGCCAGGAAGGGCTGGTAGCTGTAGTCGGCCCTGTAGCGGCCGCCGTCGGTGGCCCAGTCGGAGGCGTCCCAGATGGAGCCGTACGCCCACATCTCCCTGTCCGGGAACGCCGCGGCCCCCGTAGCACTGGCGGCGTAGCGCCTGACGGGGACGTCGTCGACGAGGAAGACGATCTCGTCGGGGTTCCACAGGATGGCGTAGTGGTGGAAGTCCGCCGCCGGGTCGAACCAGAGGTGGAAGCGCATCTCCCGCCCCACCAGGCGCGCGCCGTCGCCGGTGCCCCGCACGTACACGTTGGTCTGCAGCGTGTAGGGCTCCCCCGGCACCGTGCCCAGCAGCTCCATGTCGATCTCGTCGTGCTTCCCCGGGTACAACTCGTTGTTCGACAGCTGCATGCAGTATTGTTTGCATCTTCATATCACTGACACTGTCACTACTAGTAGTAGTTACTGATGATGCTACTAAGTGCACAGTGATCGACGACGTACGTAGAAGGCAGTGTTGACGCCGGCGGTGTAGCCCGGCTGGACCTTGATGGAGACGCCGAAGTAGCCGTTCCGGTACGAGCGCTTCGACTTGAAACCGCTGCCTGTCGATGCATTTGGTGATCATCAGTCAGAGTTTGTTTGTTTACAGGTTCAGACGACGACGATTTAGATTTCAGGACTGATCGAGGACTCATCATCATCATCACAGCCGGTAGGATTGTGCCAACCGCCAAGTGCCAACTGTTAACAACGACTACGTACTGACCTGAGGTGCGGTCCATCAAGAGGGTGAGCGCCATCTTGTCCTGCGACAGCGTCTGGTGCTGCGGCCCCCACAGGTTGTCGTAGTCCTCGGAGAAGGCCATGGACCTTACCGTGGCGCTCGGGAAGTAGCCCGGCGAAGGCTGCGCCTGCACCAACGCTCGTGGATGGTGGCCGAGCAGCAGCACCACCACCGCCACGGCAATGGCGGGCGGCAGCGCCTGGCGGCGTGCAAGGAGATTCCCCATCTCAGACATCATCTCGCAAGCAAGAGCTGCTGCTTTGCACGCAGTAACACATGCAGAGAGCAATATGCAAGAGAGGTCGTTGTGCTGCTTCCGATCCATCTCCTGCATGGGGGCCAATATATAGGATAGGAGTCCCATCATCAGTAGTCCCAGGGAAGCGGTTGATGCATGATGCGTGGAGGTTATGTAACTAACCAACTACCAACAGGAGACAGTTATGATTGTATTGCTCTCAAATCTACTACTGTCACTGCAAGGCCAACCGCGAGTACAGTACGTAAAGAGTCCTGGCGGCAACAAATAAAAAGAAAAAGAAAAGATGTGCAGTAATGAAGCACTGTACGTGATCTAACTACCGCAAAGACTTCTTTTTTGGAAACTGACGACACAACCACAGGGCTACAAACAATGACAGTTTCGACCTACTGGGCCTGTTCGCTGGTTGGTGCTGGTGCTGGTTTAGGCTGGCTAGTGCTGGTTTTTTGTGAGAGGAAAACACTGTTAGCTGGCTGATTTGGATTGGCTGAAACCAACAAGCGAACTGACTGTATATGCACGGTACGTTCATATCAATTTAATTAAGGGATCTGCCAATTCTGCCTGACTATCCGGACTGCATATATCTTATCTGCATTTCTGCAGTCAGGACTCAGGAATGGTGCCACCGTTCCAGGCACATTTAGAGGCAAGCAACACCATGCACGCATGCATGCTTATGCATTTCTCTGATGCTGAAATTGATTTTGCAGGTTTATTTGCAACCAACTTTTGTCTGCTGCTTGTTGGTTGATGACCTTAAATCTTCACTCTGCTTTCGCCTGCTCCTGCTACTCAACTTGCCTAGCTACTCCCAGGTCTCGACTTAAACACCCAGCTAATTAAATTAAAGCCGCTAAACCCTCTCCTTCGACTTTGCCACATTCATACTAATGCATACATATATAGTACTCTACTCCCTGCAGCTGGTTTATTTCTTGCTTCTCATCAAAGGAAGGGATAGGCGTTTCAGTGCGTACGATCAGCAACTTATTATTACAGGATCAGGATATATCTGGGTAGCCTAGCCTTACTTAATCTGGCTTATTAAGTAAACGATCGATCTGATCAACTAACGGAACGGCAACTAATTGAATTCATACGCAACAGTGACTTGTGATGCTGATGATGAGCAGCAGTGCAGCAGTAGCATGGATATATATGTGCTTTGCAGTGCAGTGCGTGCAGAGACTTTCCTGTTCAGTTAGTATAGTTGCGTGCAATCAACCGTTCCATTCCAATTCCAACTCCATGGCGCGTTGCGTGCGTCGTCTATCTATCGTCTGAAATCCTGAATGGCATCATCCATGCCCTATCCATCGATCAGAGAGGAAATGTAACGACGACGACACGCTTAATTTCCTTTGGCGGCCGATCGATCAAAGAATGAACTCAAAAGGACCATGCAAGCAGGCAATGCAACGCATGCATCGTGACCCAAATATAATAATGCAAACAGAAACAGTGATTGTATGCGCCGACCATTGGTTAGTTCGTTAGTTAGTTAGTTAGGCCTCTCCCCTCCATATATACTTCACATCACAACGTATATCTTTTTGGAATCCAATTCGGCCGATCACTACATATATCAACCACTGCATGTGCAGTACGCAGTAGTGTACCCGGCCGTCCTAGCTAGAAAACTAAGCTATAGCATTTTAGCATGCCCGGCTTGTTTATCAATACAATCGGCAGCTCTCCTGTCTATATGCAAACCTAGCGCCAGCCCACGTCAAGTCAAGCAGCTAGCAGTGATACTAGCTGCTTCTAGAGATATCTTGAGCGTTATATGTCATCAGCTCGTCACCTGATCAGTAAGTATTTGTGAAAAAAAAAGTGCATTACTGTGCATACTCCCTCAGTCAAAAAATAGAAGTCATTCTCGCTTTCTGAGAAGTCAGTTTTTTTTAACTTTGACTAATTATATATAAAAAATATTAATATTTATAATACATAATTAGTATCATTAGATAGCTCGTTGAATATACTATCATAATGAATTTATTTGGAGACATAAATGTTGCACGTATTTCTACAAATCTAGTCAAAGTTAAAAAAGTTTGACCTGCATGCATCTCATAATAACATCATCTATTCTGGGACGGAGGGAGTTCATATATATGGATGTCAATAATTATGTTGCATGCAAATCTTCTAGCTAGCTACAGTAGTGACGGTTCTGGTTCTCGATCTCGTCGATCGATCCAATCAATTTTTTGACTGCCAATCGAATTGAAGTCTGTTGTATGTATAGTAGTACAGTCTACAGTATACTACTGCCGCGATGAGATGATCTGACGCTTCAACCGGAAGATTCAGCTAGCTGCTAGCACTCTGCACTTGTCTGAATGCGTTAGCACGTCGTCTTCACCATCACATGTATGCATGCCGCGCGCGCATTCAAACAAGTTTCTTCTCTTTTTTTTTTTTTTTTTTATAGAGGTTGTTCGAAATGAATTGAGTTGTCGTCGAAAATTGGAATATGAAAATGAAATCGTAAAATTCGATCCATCTCTGTTGCCTGGTTGACTGAAAATCAACTCATTGTATAAAAGTTTTCAATCAGTCAGCTATTTTTTTTCTTTAAAACAAAAAAGATCCGAAACAAAGTATAACAAGGAGTACGTAGTTTTGCCTGGCAACGTATCAAGTGCAAACCAACCAACCTGTACAAACTTAAAAATTATCAATCAGGACCACTAGATGCTGATCCAATGGATGGGGTGAGAGATGGGATTTTTTTTGCGCTTAAGCCCCCAACCACCGGCCTTTTTTTTTGCGCTTAAGCCCCTCCACCTCATCCATTGGATCGGCATCTAGTGATCCTGATTGGTAGTTTTTAAGTTTACATAGATTGGTTGGTTTGCACCTGATATGTTGTCGTTATCTAATACGTCCATCCGATCCTTGCAAAGCTAGAGAGCATGAACGATGAAGGGTAGAAATAGAATCATGGCTAAAGCAACCTTATTATCAACTATTGGTTATCTCAGGCGCATGACGAATATAATATATAACAAAAATCTGATCGAATTTGGTTAATACTCTATAATAATGATACAAAAAATAAAGCGCTTTCATATATAGGCCGTGCCAATCAGTGGAACAGGAGAACATTTTGTCAGAGATGCGGACTGATCAACCTCTAGCCTCCTAGATTTGCATCTCACATCCCGATCCGGCCCCGAAAATGATGCAATTACTACTTTATGAGGAGCCTAACAATTTTAAGTCTAACTACATATATAAGAAAAATTACTAACATTTATAATACCGAATATGTACCATTATATTAATTACAAAATATATTTCATAGTAAAACCTAATTTGAGACATAAATATTGATATTTTTTATAAATTTAATTAAATTTAGAAAAGTTTGATTTGTCTGGATTCTAGAATTACATTTTTCTTTTGACAGAGGGAGTAATAATATAGATTGAGTCCAGACAAACTAGCTAAACTTCATCTAAGATAGATCACTACTACACAAAACAATATTTAGCAACCGTCAAAACTGTTATTTAGCCGCGTGGGTTATGGCAACCAGTTGCACGCATACGTCTCTAAAAATAATTAAGGATTTGCAGGGGTGGCCACCCGCCATTAGCACCTAGAAATCAATCTCTACATAAAAGATCAGTCATGGATGTGAGCGCCAAAATGGGATTATATATGGAGAATGTTGAAGTAGTATAGGAGCTGAATTGTAAATACATATTCCTCTGTAGACTATGCTTTTTTTATTATGTTTTTTAATTATTTGCCTGGCGCATGTTTCTCAACAAGAAATTTAGTGCAACAACCGCTGATGATCGGTATCGGAAGAAGTTGCAAATGGTCACATGGTGACATGCCACATGCCCTTTGTGCAAGAGAAAGCAACCGCCTGCACGTACGGCACCTCCTCCACTAATTTAGACTCTGACATCTCTCCTAAAACCAGAGCTCTTTCTGGTGTTCATAACCAGACATCTCATTTGTACGCAAATTCCAACAATTATCCATATCGTCAACAAAATTGATTTCCCATCATCTTATTGATCAGTTTATTAATTTTATTTTCAGAAACAAGCTTTTAATTCAATTTTCTCTTTGCTATATTTTCCTTGCTTAATTTGTAAGGATTGAAGAGGTCCTTTGGAATACAGTAACTTTACATAAAAAAGTATAATAAACACAGAGAATTTTGCTGTTGCACATGCATGCCATGCAGATCATCATCAGCTAATTGATCGATGGGGTGCATGCATGCATGCAACCAACGAGTAGCCGACTCTGAATTGCCAAATCAACTAACCCTGTACGACATACACACATTCTTCCTCCCTTTTCTTTTATTTCTAGCTTTCTTTCTAGAACAATGAATGAACGTAATCATGCATCCATGGTTGTGTTTGACCATGGGTTGCCTTTCATTTGTAGCTAGATACTAGGTTCCTGTGAGCGTACCTAACGCAACAGTGATACATCACATCTTTAATTTAATTTAATTTAATTTGATAAATATAAGCTAATTTGGCTTATTTGGATGGATGTCTGAGTTTTTTAGATGGACTGTGCGTAGCTCAGCTAGTTAGGATCCTTATTGTGGAACTGTCCCTGTGTTCCCTCAACTTGATGTGGATGCTCGTAATTTTCTGGACTTATTTCGGGATTTATAACGCTCTTATTGTGTTCATGGTAGATGACGTGGCTGTGGATAGCGATTCAAAAAACAAAATTGAGCCAGTTTGGAATATAGAGGAATCTCTCATCTTATGTGAAGCATACTTCCTCCTGACATAAATATAGCTCATTGGTCAAGTACATATTATTTGTGGTCAAGGATATAAGATGTTTAACTTGGAATAAATTAAACCTAGATTGACTAATGCTTATGATCGACTGATGGAAGTAGTGACTCTTCCCATGGCATCTTCTGAAAAGAAATCGAGTTTCATATAATGATTACTAGCTAGCTCTCCCTCGATTCTAGAATAATACTCCCTCTGCTCCAAACCATAATTCGTTTTGGCTTTTCTATATATCTAGATATAGCGTGTATATATATAGATGCATAATAAAAGCTA